TGGATAGTAAAAAGGAAGCTGGTGATGCTGATGATGTCCAGTCTCTCACAAGAGATTTCAATAAAGCCGAGAAAGTGATCAATGACATTGAAAGCGGACAGTTTTCATCGAAAGATTTACAGGTAATAATTAGTCCGAAACTCGAAAGAATGTTCCTCAAATTAAAATAATAAACAACTCCATCCAAAAGAAGTTATCGGTAAATTTTGTTCTTAGTGGTTGGTTAAACATTTGTTTATCGTATATTTGCATATGCAAGCCTTACCGAAGCTTTGTACTTAGCTATTATCAGTGTTTTCTGAAGCGCTGTTGTGCTTGCAAATAGACAACGCTTGAATATTTGAGCAAAGAGGGTTTTGAATTTCTCTAGCTTTCAATGTGCAATTGGTTTATGAGAAAGTTGAGTAAAGCCTAAGAGAAATTTTTTCAAAAGACGAGGTGATAATAAGACGATTTGCCAGTAGCGGTAGAAAAATGTAAATTTCATGGTTGAGTGCACGATAATTCTTAGCAAATATGCTAGATCTCCTTGCTAAGGAATTACAATTTCATCATTTATCTTCTTTTTAGGGACGACTTGAAGAAGCAATTACTATACTGGAAAATATCACCAGGGCGGTTTCAACATTGTCATTATTCTCAACCAACGAACAGGTGAACAGCAGTTTACTTTTTGAGTTTGGTGCCAAACGACTTTTCATTTCCTACCTTATGCTACTTCTCATGATTCAGCTTGAAGATATACCTACACCTTCTCTTCCGTATCTCCTTATTCCATGTTATCTTGGCATTGCCCAACATAACAAATCCACAACTGATCCTGTCAAACGGCGTGACCAACTAGAGTTGGCAAAGGTTCGTCTGCTCTTTAATACGTGTCAACTTCTAGTACTCTGAAGTTACAGTTATAAGTGAATGAGACATTTAAAATTCTGTACTTGTGCGAAATCTTTGGCCACAGAGCGCGAACTGGCTGCGCTTAAGTGCCTACTGTTTTGATTTTGAGGGGGTTTTTTTAGTTTTTGAACTTTTTTGGAATTTGAAAATCATGGAAGCCCATGAGTTTCTTGCATAATCTTCATAAAATCAAGAAAAGGAGACTAATCCCATAGTTGAGTGGGCTTTTGCGGGTTATAGTAATAGTAATAATGAGTAAAATAAGATTACAACTAATGGAAACGTTTGTTCGGCTTCACACTAAGCGGAACACTAACTTACTTTGTGGACAACTTTTTGAGACTTTAATAGTTGTTCATTCGCAAGGATGAAAGAAATTTGATCTTAAGTATATCTTCTTCATATAAGCTGTTGTAGCACTGAAAAGCATCAGTATTCTCCAAAGTAAAATTGAAA